CTAGGGATCTAGTTAATACCTGTGATTGTGAGCTTGTTTTGTTTCTGTTATTAGAAAAACATTCACTCAAGCAAAGCAGCAGTTAGAAAAGGCTAGATGTGGGACCTACCTTGCTGATGTCCCAGATGCTGTTATTCAGTTTTATTGGTAAGAGGCTAGGCTCTTTTATATTCAAGATTATTTCAACAGTCTTCAGTTTGTCAAAAACTGTCTACTTTGTCTGTAAGAATCCTTCACTGTGCTTCTTAAGTAGTGAAATCCTGTTTGACCAGAACAGGCAGAAAGGTTCTGGGGTAACAGTGGTGTTTGGTGTAGAAGTTTGCCCTGCAACTGGAGAAGAAAACTGGCTTTCAGTATTGTTCTGTCCTTTGGCAAGACACCTCACCTGCATTGCCTACTGATGGTGGTCAGAGGGACTGGTGGCGCCAGTGTACAGTAGCCTTGCTTCTGTTAATGAGCCTCAGGGCAGCTGTGGCTACAATGGACTTTCCCACCATCTGTGTGTGTTTGTGTGGGTGAATGATTGTATGTAGTTTAAAGTGCTTTGGTCAAGTTCTCTGACTCAAACAAGCGCTATAGAAGTACAGACCATTTACCATTGTGATGTTATGTTCTCACTTGCAAGACTGGTGCTTGAATGAAGAGCTCTGATCTCATTTTATTGGTAAGACTTTGATTTTCTGTCTGATAATAAAAAACTTTATTCTCAGCCAGACAGTTTTTTCTTATAAATGAAACAGTATCTATATTACCCCTGTACTCATAGATGAAGACTAGCACTAATTTAAAAATGAGGAAAGTGATGGAAATTGGCATTTTTTCGCAGGTACAGCGTGGCTGGGAAGGTGGTGTCTCTAAAAAATATTGCACCGTTTCTGTGTTTAGGTGGTATATATGATCAACTAAGTAAAATGTTGAGGTTATCACAGCTACGTTTTCAGTTTTGTGTCCCAGAAGGTGTTAACATACCAAATTTTAAACTCAACTCTATCTTTGCTCTTTTCCTGTTACACCTTCTGTTAACTTGATCTACTTTGGCCCACATTGAATAATGGAATGCAAAGAACTTCAAAGCTTGGTAAAGATGGACGCATTTGACAGCCTCGTTGGGCAGGGGAATGAAATGTCAGGTTGGGTGGAGGTTTTGGGGACCTAAATGCAGAGTATGAGCATGAGTAGGTAGAGATGAGTTTTGCTGATTTAATTGATGGTCAAAGGCAAGAGAGGCAAAATACAAAAAAGTGAGAACCAAAAAACCCAGATAACTACAGGGAAGAGACAAGGGGGAAATAAAAACCATAAGATACCAGCTCTGAGTGAAGGCTGTGCTGCTCTTTAAAGCCCAGCACTCTGATGAGCCTGATGAGCTCCACCTGTCTAGGCTACCCAGATTCTCTACCAAGATCCTCTCAGGAAGAGATTCATATCTAGGACTTACACACACATAAACATAAAAATCTAGACATCACTTAACTGTGAAGCCATTTGCACTGAAATAGAGTCTATGAAATACACAGACCCTAAAATTGGACATGGCTTAGATATGTGGCACACAATCTGAAATATGCATGTTCTACATCTACCTTCACAAAGTTTTCTATGTCTAACAGGATTGTTGTTGGGTTTTTGTTATCAGTGTTTTAAAAGTGTATTGTTTTATCTTATGTTCTGTTTGTTTTATAAAACACTTTAATAAACTGATATTCTTTTTAACTATTATGATCCTGTTTATATATTGTATTATAAGTTAAGGGGAGTGGTTAGGGGATAGAGCTCGGAGTTCTGAGTTCGAGCCCCACTCCCACAGACTGCCACTATGGGTCTCTGAGCAAGACCCTTAACGCCCTAGTGCTCCCTCAGTGCCCCACGGTGGCAGCCCACTGCTCCCTAAGGCAGTGTTTTTCAATCCTGGTCCTCAAGGCACCCTGCTCTGCATGTTTTGGATGTTTCTGAGGTTCAGCAAACCTGATTCAGATGATTGCAGTTCAGCAAAGCCTGATAATCTGCTATTCAATTGATAACAGGTGTGTGAAAGCTGGGAAACATCTAAAACATGCAGGGCAGGGTGCCTTGAGGACCAGTATTGAAAAACACTGCCCTAAGGGGATGAGTTAATGCAGAGGTAATTTTTTTTCCAATGTGAGATCAATAAAGTTAAATTATTACTATGCCCTCTTGTTGCTGTTAGGGCTTATATTTTTGCAACTCATCAGCAGTAGCTTCATTGCTGCCTAAAGATGTCAGCTTTTAGACAGAAGCAATGGTGGAGCCAAAACATGTTTACAGGGGTGGTGAGCAGAGATGGCAAAAGTACTCACTTTCCGTACTTGAGTAAAAGTACAGATACTTGTGTTAAAAAAAACTCTGGTAAAAGTGGAAGTACTGATTAAACTTCTTTACTCAAGTAAAAGTAACAAAGTACAGGCTTGTAAATGTACTTAAAGTATAAAAGTAAAAG